GAATAGTCTTTGGCTTATGTCTCATTCCTACTCTGGTTTTATTTGAGTTTGACTCTTCGGTATCATTTATTCCTTCACTATATCTGGGGGGAATTTATAGTGCAACTGTCAGACGATAAAGATAAAATTTTATTTGAGTCTCTTCAGTTTATATTTATCTCCGTTTATTAACCTTGTGGTGTATTTATTTGAAGCTCTGGAGAAGGACTGGGAACACATTTTAATTTTATGATGCATTATAACCACCAGGCTGCATGCTCATAATTAGTAAGTATAGGTGTCCTTTTGTGTATGGTACTGACCTAAGGCAAACAGTAAAGTCCTGATCCCCTAGCATGATGTCAGGCCAAGGTAAACGAGCAAAGGAGTATGGGAATAACTAACATCTATGCAATTAAGTAAAGAGTGAAGCACCAGCAAAGGAACGAGGTGAGATGGGAAAGGGGATGAAAAACAAAGAGACTAAACTAGCTAGTTGGTAAACTTATATGGGGTGGAGTCTGCAGACACTGCACTGCCGCGCCTCTCTGGTGGTTTATATCCACCAAGTGCTTCTTGGGAAATATCCTCACTGAAAAACTGCTGGAGAGTTAGCTATGATTCAGTTCCAAGTTGACAGCAATGACTCTGACGTCACCTTCCAGTGTTGGCTTTCTGTGCAACTGTGTATTTGTTCTTTTTCTTAATTATATTGACATCTTTTTGTGATGAATTCCGCTTGTGCTCGCTGTCCACACTGCCATTCCCAGGGCAGGCTTGGTAGCTCCTTTGCTACTCCATCCTCCTTTTGATTCTTTTCTTTGACCTTCTAGTTTGTCTTCCTGTCATTCATTTAAAGCCACATAGACATTTCTCATCCACCTTTATATCTTCTTTTCCTGCCTCTGCTTCCAATTTAACCAGATGATTCTCTCCAAATGCTCTAAGCTGCTCACACGAGTGGCTGCTAGGTGCCTTAGCACTCACAGTTCACCTCTGCTTAGTGAGAAAGGACCTTTAGTTGATGTGCTAACCTTGTCACAAGTATGATGCACACCCGTCGGACAAGTCATGGCACACGTCCACACAAGGCTAAATAAGCAACTCTCTTTTTGTTTAAATCATCAGTGAGATATTTAGGGAGGCGTGTGTGTGACGTGAAGGAGTCCTGGAGGCACAGTAATGAAGCTTGTGGGTGTGAGCCTAAAGGTCAGTGGATTGACCTCCCCTGACATTCTGCTGACTGCATTCTTGTTTGGAAACCCTATGGGGCAGTTCAACTCCGACCAACAGGGTTCCTATGAGTTGGAATCAAAGTAACAGCAATGGATTCATGGTAAGATTCGTGAAAGCAACTTTTCTACATGCTATAGTAAACAAAAATTGTGTGCCACTGCCCCTTCTAGTTAAGGAGTGACAGGAACAGGGCCTCCAGCGTGCCCTTCTAACTATTCAGGGTAGAAGCACAGCGGTGTTGAAAAGATCCATGTGCTACTAGTCATAGAGTCTCGAAGGACCATATTAAAACACACAGTGGTGAAGAACTCAGCTGGCACCATGGCTCTCAGCCACCAGAGGTACTGACATGACGGGCCCCTTTGGGAAACAGCAGATCAAAGGGCTCCAGCTTCACCGCTCAAAGCACAAAGAAAACAGTCATCTCTTTGGAAAAGGAGGGCTAATGGCTTACTGGATGCATTGTTGTTCTTACAGCTAAGTCAGTCATTTTAAATCAACACTATCTTCTTATGCTTAAAAACTAGCAACTACTGATCTCCAACTGGAAATAAAGCTATTAATAAAAACATGTTTGTTGTTCTGTGGCAACTTGTGCATTGTGATATTGAAAGCTGTGCCACTAGTATTTCAAACACTAGCAGGGTCACCTGTGGTGGGTGGGCAGGTCTCAGCAGAGAGTCTAGACCAAAGAGAAATGTCTGGTCATGTAAAATATAGAAAATGTTAGAGAATTAGCCAATGAAATCTTTGTAGATCACCTCAGAACATTGTTTGGGCTCACGTGCTTTGGGCATGACATCAGAGAATCTCAACTGTGGGAGTAAAGATACCATATTTAGGAAAGGAGAGCTCGTGAGACTCCCTGGTGAGATGAGCCGGCATAACAACAGCAACAAAGGACTCGGATTCACTGGGGATCATGCAGATAACACAGGATGAGACAATGTGCCTATCTATTATACATACAGTTTTTATGATGTGGAGTTGACTTGATGGCAACTGGCCACCTAGATTCTACTTAGAGAAGGGGAAGGCTAAAAGCAAGGCACACTAGTACTGGGTGTCAGCTCTGCACAAACCTGCCTGCAAGACAAATCTGGCCCCTTAACTGGAGAGTGTGTACACTCAGTATCTCTGGTTTAGGAAAGCTGCCCGGCAAGTCTCATGCACAGCCTGACCTTGCTAACAGCCTGGCTTTTCTGCCTTGCCCTGTGGACTCTGGCCCATGGCACCCAACGTGGGCATCAAGACAGGGAGAAACTCTGCAGACAGAAAGTGGATCATGAGCACCTCCATTAGACCAAGGCAATGAAGAGATTCCATTGTATTCAAGAATTTAATAGGGGGTCTTTCCAAACATTCAAATATAAAACCATCTTTAAGTGTAAAATTAAAATGGGGGAAAAATTGTATGGAGTGGGAATGAGATAAACTAATGGCTTCTTGTTGTTGTTATGTGCCACTGAGTCGACCTTGACGCATAGCGACTGGATGAACAATAGCTCCGAACCTTGCCCTGGCCTGGACCAACCTCACCATCTCCTACACCCCTGACTGCATCGCCATAGTCACTGTGTTAATCCATCTCATCCAGATCTTCCTCTACTCTTCCAGGCATGATGCAAAGGTACACAGTTCAAATCCATCAGGTGTTTCACAGGGAAGATACGGGCAATCTCCTATCATGTGATTTACAGTCTCGGAAATAGCTGGAGGGTCAGCTGTTGACCGGTTCCAACTCAGATCATCAACATCACCATCACCACCACAACAGCATCAATGATAATCTATGTTTCACTCTGTGGAGGGCCAGAGCTGAGAAATACTGTCATTAGTGCTGACACATTGACTATTTTATGTAATCTAGCTTGCATCTTCCTGCCTTGCTACCTTTTTCCTAAACTCCATTCATTTCCTTTCCCTTTAGAACAGCTACAGGAGCATGAATGGAGAAATATGCTTCTGAACTATTTTCCAGCAGCAGCTCCTGTAAACAATTACTTTGTGGGGATCCTTAAGTGCTGAACAAAATGAGATTCCTGGCTTCACCACAAATTTAATTGACTTAAACTGTTCCTGCATGCCTATGAGAAAAATGAGTTTGAAGCACATTTTCTTGGGGCTAGGGAGGCATTCTAGAAATACCTGGACTTTATTAACAGCAGGTTCCAACAGCAACAATTTTAATGTTAGTGTAGGACTGGTAATGTTTCATTCTATTAAACTGTAAGGTTGTTTGAGTCAGAAGTGACTCAAAGACACCAAAAAGCAATTAATATGTTGGGAAAAAGCAATGATTATACCACTAATTAACCTTGATCTTAATAATTAATAGTGCAACAGTAGACCAAGCTTTACTTAGTTTTCTTTTTATACACTATTTCTCTGAGCTATAATGTTCTTACCTGCAAAATAAAAACAAACAAACAAACAAACAAACAAAAGAACCCATTTGATCAATAACTAATCTCTTTTAATTCTAAAAATTATCCTTCTCTAAGGGTAAAACCAGGCTGGCTGGTCCTTAGAGGCAAGGGTTTTAAAGCTTCATCTGACATACTCTGGATGTGTTGAAAGGACCAGTCCTTGGAAGGGACATCAAGCTTGGAAGGGTGGAGGAACAGCACAAGAGAAGAGAGGAAAACCCTCAATGAGATGGATTGATTCTGTGACTGGGGTAATGAATGGGGTAGGTGTGTCAGAGACAATAATGTTGGCTTAGGACAGAGCAGGGTTCAGAGCTGTTGTACATATAGAGTCACTATAGTTACTGATGGCATGTAACACCACTACCACAACAGTTTACTATGAAGTTGCATATACCAGAAAGTTTTCTTTCTCCCCTCCAAAATGATATTAAAGACAAAAGAAGAACTGATATGGGAAATTTTACTTATTTTCAAAATTTTGCATTTAAGAGGGGTATTAAGAGGAGGCATATTTGAATGTTGTGACTATTGTTCTGTTGCTCTAACTCACTTCTGTGTTGTATTCTCTTGTTAGCCACAGATTGGCCTATGGGGAGAAAGGTTCAAAAGGAAGCATAATTGCACGTTAATTGTAACTGTCACTTGTGTCTTTACTCCACCTCTGGTGCTCTGCACTGACACCCTGAAAAGTTAAAGAGATTTCAAGTAGAAATGCAGAGTATTATGTTTAACAACATGATGAACAATAACCAAGTCTATTTTGCTTACAATGTTTAGTTTAATGTAATTTCCTGTGAAAATGTAAAGGTCAGACTCTTAAAATGACTATTATTCCCTGTGATATGGTTTTGCTTAGAGGCCACACTACTTGAGAGAGAAACAAAACAAAAAACACATCAAACAAACAAAAACCCCAAACTCAAAACAAAACCCCAGGAATAAATTATGTAAATGTGCTTAGATTGGATTTTTTTTTAAAACAACAGAACATTCTTCTTTTCTATTTCTAATATCTGAGACTCTTTTTTAGAAAATATCAAAGTATCACAATTTTCTTTCATGTAGGCAGTGGCATTAGTATTATTTTGATCACGTTGGTATACAAATTATAATAATAAGGTTAACAGCCCAAACCTCAAATGCCCAAATGCCAAGATCACTGTACTTAGCATAAACTGTAATAAAGGAAAACATGTAAAAAAATGAACAGAAAGAAGAGCTCTAACTTGAGGATGACAAAAGAATATATTTTTTTCAATAAAGAGCTACCTGCATGATCCTAACACAAACCATACTTCCTCCATGGTCTTTCTTCACTGACCACTTGGAAAATAGACAGCTGATTTCCCTTACCTCTACCACACCGTGATGGATAGATGTATACTGTTTCTTCTTCAGCATCACCAAGGTGATGACAATCACTGTTGCTATGACAACACCACCCACCATGAGTCCAATGATTGCACCTTTGTTTGAACCCACATCTTCTGCAAAGAATACCTTGAAAACAAAACAAAACAAAAAAAAAGGATTGTAATTTCAGGAGACATTTAGATAAGTTATGTGTGAAGTTACAGTACACTGTCTGCCCTAAATCAACCTTAAGGTCCAAGATGGAGTTGATAAGTTAGTTCATTCATTATTTGAAAATAAACACCAAAATTATACTTAAGAATGACAACTGCATTTTTCTCTTAGAAGCTACTATAATGACATAAAAAAAGTTTGTAAAGACTTGAAGCCCTTTGACAGGTAGAACTTTCTGCAACAAGTGGAGGATAGCTCCTGGGTCTATCAAAATCTGTAAAATGGGGGCGTGGGGGGTGTTAGGGAAATGGGAAGGAACTAGTGTGAAAAACAATGCATATGAATTTTGTAAATAAAAAATAATTTCATAAGTCATACAATAAAAGTTGGTCACTGATTAACATAAAAAATCCCAAACAGCAACGACAAAAAACCCTATAAAAGACAGGAGCAGAATCATGGCAGGAGGTTGGTATTTTCCCAGTCACAGCAAGTTTAGAACTGAAAACCTGACCTGGGAGTATGACTTTGCAACAACTGTGCTTCAGACGCTCGTCAAACCTAGAGGGATGTGCTCATTTCCTTGGAGGCTGGGACATTTTTAGTATCCAGGAATAAGCACTTTGAAACAAAGGCATTAAGACCAAAGAAAAATGCATCTTACTACTTAAATGGCAATAATTCAGCAGGACATTAACTTTGAGAAGCACAAGGTTCTAAGGAGCTCTTTCAAAGGGAAGAATTAGGCAGTAAGAATCTATACGGTCATATACAACGCACACATTTTTCATAGTATTGTGAAATCGAAAATAATCCTGCTTTGCCCTTGCTGTTTGTCTGGATTAAAGGGGGTGGGGAAGTATTGAGAGGACATTGCAAAGAGACAACGTACTGAGTTGGATTAGTTTACTGTACGATATTTCTTCATACTGCTTAGAAAATAAAAGCAATCATTATTTTTCCACTTTACTAAAATGGACTTACAAAAGCACTCTGGGATTTTAAAATCTTGTTATATAAGGGATTATCTTCAAGCTATTATTAAACATACACTAAATTTGTTACATTAAAATTGACAAAAATAGTGAATTTGTAATTCTTTCCATATAACCTTCAGACAGGAAAAAGAGAGACTTATTTGCATATAGCTAAAAGTAACATAACAATCTGAAAAGGGAATTTAAATAGACTAAATAAAGCAAATTTCTAAAAAGGCTTTGTTCTTGATGTTTCTGAAACAAAATCAGAAATTGTTATTCCTCTTAGTAAACCAGCTTCTAGTTCAACTTACTCATAAAAAACAAATCATTAATTAGTTAATAATACTAGTTTGAAGTTATCAAGAATAAATGTAAGTCTGGACATCTTGCTATGTCTTTAAGAAAATACTGTAATTTTGTAATATTCATTGCACTAATTATAGGACATTATCTTATCAACTAGCTTAGTAGAGGGAGCTGATTCTCCTAATTGCTGCTTGTGTCATTACTCACTGTCGCATTACCGCATTACAGGAGCTAAGGTACTTGCAGAGATGGGCTTTTAGGACACAGACCCCATAAATGCCAAGCAGCATACTAATCTTTACTTCTCTGTCTCCTAACTCCCTAACTCTTCAGCGGTTCCTCCTAGCTTTTCTTTTCAATCTCTTCTGCATCTCATAATCATAATCACTGACTGGACTAACTTGTTATCTGAGACCATACTTCAAAAGGCAGCACGCCTTTCACAGAAAGTCATGGGGTGAATGCCAAGTCAGCTGTGATTTGCTAGTTATTCCGTGTAATAAGAAACACGAACACTACTGTAGAGGCATTTCTATTAGATTTTAATTTTATGACTTGTACATTTATGACTACTAGAAAATTATTTTCCCATTGTGAAAGAATACCCCCCCCATACACACAGAGGACATGTGTGTTTCAAACACTATTACTGCTCTAACGATTACCAATTTTTATTCACCAGAGACTATACAATAAAGTTGTTTTCTTTATTATTTTAACCCCCTTACTGTGCTTTTAATAGATAAAGGGAGCTCTCATATACATCTGAGATACAACTGATGTGAATTTCTAAGCTTTTGATGAAGGATTTGGACAAGCTGTAGGAACTGCCTGAAGAGGAGGCAGTTACATTTTCATTTACTCCAATTCTAACCTGGGGCAGGGGGGTAGGGATTTCATCTGAAAAGAAAGCTGCAGCCTTTCTGGCCCAAACGTTAGAGAATAAATAGTACTGCAGCCCACAGCCCTGCCCCCACCCACATTCAGTGATCTTCTCTAGGCAGGAACCTTGAAAAGCAAAAGTGGGAGCAGGAGGAGGAAGCAGGAAGGAAAGGCAAGACAAAGAGATAAGAAACAAAGGGATAGACATAAACCACAGATGAGAGGACTGGACAGCTAGAAAGAGCGCTCAGTGAAGTCAAGTGGTGTTTGGACATGCTTACTTCAGCTTTTCATCTTTCAAATGATAAACTTACCCTGTAGCATTATTCAAATAATTCACTATTTCATAGGAATCTATAAACAGTTTTGGCAATCAATGCATTCAAGAAATAAGTACTTGCTACAGTTAAGGTCAAATAGATGTGATGTAAATATTATGCCCTGCCTCCCCAATGATTATGATCCCAAATATAAGACTTGTGCAAATAGATGCAACTCTAATGAAAGTATTCCTAGAAAAGATTGGGGAAGTTAACTAAAATAGCTGCTATATCAGGAGTTAAGTTCACTATGTGCTGCACAAGCTTAGGAGGCCGTGTATGGAAGTCTGAGTCTACCCAGAGGTGCCTCAGAAGAAAGGCAATTTATTTCTGAAAACCAACCACTGAAAACTTTATGAATCTCCTCTCAAACTACTATGGTGAGAAAAATCTCAAAATCTTAAACCTAATATTTCCCCTGAAGCCATCTTAAAACAGAACAACAGTGTAGTTTAAATATTAGTGGTTTGGATAAACCAGCTGTTCTTTGCAATCTCCGATGCAATTTATAGTCTCTGATAACACACTAGGAGATCAGCTGGGAGTGAGTTTCAACTCAACAGCACACAACAAAGGTTCACAACTCAAAGAATGTAACCAACGTCACTTGTACATGATGAAGCTGTAGAATTAGTCTAAGTTTTGTTGTGTGTAGTCTCAATAATCACTAAACAGACAAAACTTAGAAAAACAAGTAAAAAGAAAACCTACAGTTTTTACAAGATTTAAGTCAGCAAAATCTCAAAGGCAACCAAACATAGTTATTATGACTGTGTATATTTGGAATTTAGTTGGTAGGCTGTGAAGGTGTGCATGATTAATAAGACAAGGGCATATATAATTCATAAATTATCATATTTTCACTTCATGAAAAGTTCTTTTTCTTCATTATAAGAAATTTTGAAGAATGTCATCAATACCACTGAATTGTATATGAGAAATTATTACATGTTTTGCTGTATATAGTCTCAATAATAACAGAAAAACAATTAAGGAAAAGAAAATGGTATGGGTTTTCTTTTTTTTCATGAAAGTTTATAGAGAATTTAGATTTCTATTCATTCATTGTTGTACTTTTCCCTCCCTGCCCACCACCCTCCAGTTTGCTTTTCTTTTTTTGGGGGGAAAAAAAGAATCTTTCATTGTTGTACAATTCCCCACCCCCACCCCAGTCCACTACTATGCAGCTCTTATTCTGGACTGTTGTCATGCAAATAATACCTAATCATATATTCCTTTTAAGCAGTTCTTTCCCTCATCTGTTTCAATGCGGTGTAGAATGTTATGGATTTTAGAAGCTTGCAGATGCCTATCCAAGACATAACAACTGTTCCCTATTTGCCTGGTGCAACAGAGAGGAAAAAGAGGAAGAAGAAAGTGTGGCTGATTGCCTCTAGGAACACTTGCCTCTTTTGCCAAGAGACAGGAAGAACTGAATGGAACCAGCTACCATTATGGGACATTTTGATCAATCTATAGGAGAATCTGATTAAAAGGTGGAAAATTTAGAACAGAACTTCAAATTTACATGGAATCTAGATTTTTTCAGAGCTACTGAGGCTGGATAAATTCCTGAAATGACTCTTAAACATGTCTGTTTTGGGCACTATGCTCTATTAAGAGCTATCTATGTGTGATCAAACTGACAAACATGACTTGAAAGATTAGACAGGAATATTAAAGGCAGTGAGTGCATATTAATTGGAGAAGGATAACTCAGAAAGGGGGGTGAGAATTACAAAGTTATGTAATCACTGTCACTGAAATGTACATGTACAAAAATTAACTATGTATGTTTTTACTGTGTATATTCAATAACAATATGAAACGAATGATGGATAAAAGAAAGAGAGGCCCCCTGGAGCACAGCGCTCCTCTGACACACAGGATGTCAGCATGAAACAGTGTTTATGCTGAGGCAACAGAAACGTAAAAACACAAGGGTCTCTTTGTGTCTTCACAAGGCATTAGAGGTAAGTGAGCCATTTTTATCTCAATTTCTGACACAGGATAGATAAAAGTTAATAGGTTATCACAGGAATCCAGAATTAAGGTTGCACAGAGAAGTGTACTCGGGGTGGGGGGAAGGGACATGGGAATTGTATACTAATGAAGGAATTTGTTTTCTTTTTTTTTTTTCTCTCTTCGGAGGGGGAAGCGAGCTGGTGGGGAGGGGTGGGCAGGGAGAAAATTGTGGCAATGAATGAACGGAAATCCAAAAACTCTGTAAAAAAATAATAATAAAAATAAAAAAATAAAGAAAAGTTAATAGGTTATCTGAAAAGATGATCAGAGGAGCAGAGAGAGAATGGTGAATTACTGACTTACCAATTTTTGATGATGAACTTCATATCCTGAATCATGTCGGAACTCTGCGTCCATCTTCACTTCCGAGATCTCTTCTGTCTTAATATTTGTTAGTCCTGAACCTGAATTACACAGCAATTAAAGGAGGTACAACAACCAATTACTTTAACATGTAAACAATGACATTATTATATAAAGGTCAACAAACCATCCCCATATTCCGAGATCTAAAGTTAGCGGTAAATAGATTTGATTATTTAAAATGTAAAAAACCCAAATAAAACAATACTCTGTAGTTAAAAACATAACTATCAGCTATTTTAGAGAAATAAATGAGAGGTAAAGTATCTGAACTTAAGATGTCTACTTCCTTTAAGCACATGCTATAATTTTTATAAAGGGAAGATAAACTGAATTCAAATGATGACTGGGAAAAACCTGCTCCCAGAGTTTGCGGGCTCGATTTAGGGCTTCCTGTGTGGGTCTGATTATGGATCTTCTCCCTTGTGTTATCATTCCTTCAGAAAATAGACAAGACTTTTAAAAAGGAGTATTAAATAGAAAGGACTTAAAAAATAAAGGAGTATTAATTACCTGTTAGAATAAAATTGTTATTTTGGGCTTTGTTCAACACAAATAATTGATTTTTATGCATCCATACAGTCAAGTATTGTAGGACAATTCCACAAGTATCATTTATTTGGTTAACTGTTCTAATTATTGATGTGCATTTTCACTGGCTTTCCTGATGAATAAAGAGTTGGTGTATGTACCTCTTGAAAATGCTTCCTTTGGAATAACAGAATAAACTTTCCAACTCTATAAATTGCTATCTCTATACGATAATGATGCTTTATCTAATATGGTAATTTTCACTATTCACAGAAAAATTTAAAAGTTCAAAAAGGAGGCAAAGTTAACTTTTTTAAGCAAAGTGATGGCATAAATAAAACATCAGTTTCTACATTCCTAGCAATGGGCTGACTCTGCTCTTGCTCAAACACACATGAAAACACCCATTAGCTTCCATTTTCAGATTGTTTTATTTACTAGGATGGGCTTTCTCACATATTAAGCCAAAAAAGGGAAAAACGGCTTTCCTGCAATCTCTACTCTTTGAGGCACATTCTACACACAGCAAGCCTAACTGTCCTTTCTGTAGCTGAGCCTTGAACAAGTTCAGTTCTTGAGGAAGAGATTCCATGCCCTGCTGATTGATTCTCTGACTTGAGCTGCATTCTCTCATTTTCTTCAATGCCCCCTGGGTCTAATTTCTTGCTCTTAGTCTAATTGCTCTTACAATCATATATAAAAGGTGATGCAAAACTTGCCACACACTTTGCTGAGAGAGAAAAGCATAATGTTTCCTAAATATGATGTCTGGCCCTAACATCATAGCTGATTCACAGAGGAAATCAGGATAATGTGACAAGACCTAGTACACCCATATTGGTTCTGACATACTGCTGTATTCTTGTCCAACTGCTAAATAAGCTTCCATTTACTAACCTATTCAAAAGATGGTCCTAGAGCAGAGCCAGCACACACCTCTCCTAGACTGTGAAGCTATTTTCCTTCTTATTATCTGTTAGAACACTATTTTCTTCGCTGTAATTTCCCACCTTATTTTCTCCAGCTTTGTCACCTTGGTCTCCAGGAAACATTCTGACTGCCCCCCGTCCAAGACATGATATGTTTGTACATTTGGCAGTCCATGGGATATTCAATCCTATTCTCTAACATCATAGTTTAAAAGCATCAATTAAAAAAAAAATAAAAGCATCAATTCTCCTTCCTTCATCCTTACTTATTGTTTTTAGAAAGTTCAGCTTCTTGAATGGTTTGCTCAGCGTACTGACTGAATAGGCGTGGAGAAAAGTTACAACCCTGGCACATACCTTTCCTGATCTTAAACTATGCAGTGGTTCCTTGCTCTGCTAGGATAACAGCTTCTTCTAGGTATAAATTTCACATGAGCACAATTAAGTGTTCTAGGATTCCCATTCTTCTCAATGTTAGCCATAATTTGTTATGGTCAATACAATTAAATGTCTTTGCATAATCAGTAAAGCACAAATACACATTCTTCTGGTATTCTCTGCTTTCAGCCAGGATCCATCTGACATTAGCAATGATATTCTTGGAGGAAGTGTGGCCAGAATGCTCCTTGGAGGCAAAGATGACAATGCTGCCTCTCACATACTCTGAGCAATGCTGCCTCTCACATACTCTGAGCATGTTGTCAGAAGAGGCCATTCCTTGGAAAGGGACATGATGCTTAGAAGGGTGGCATGTAGGCAATAGAGAGGAAGCCCTAAATGAGATAGATTGACACAGTGACTGTAGCAAAGGGCTCACACATGTCAGAAATGATGAGGATGGCACAAGATAGGACGGGGTTCACATCCATTATTCACTGGGTCATTGCTCGTCACACTCAACTAGATGATGCCTAAAACCACCACCACCATCTTTTCCAGACTTCTATAATGATTTTTAATAGTGTTTCTATGATTTTAGTCTGTGATCTGCCTGAGTCATAAGAACTTGGACTTATTACCTAGATAAGTTTCGTGTTTTTAAAAATATGCCCACACATTTATCAGTGCTCTTCCCTTCAAAAAGTGGAACTTCCTTTCTTTTGGTGTGACCTGCATAAAGTGGTCACTGTTGATGAATATACATGGCATAAGGGATGATGTGTGACTTTTGAGAATAAGTCATAAAATGCACTGCAGTATTATTCCTACTTTGGATTACATAGTCTACCAAAAGACAGCTGTCATACTGTGAGGACACTCAAGCAGTGCTACAGAGATTTACATGGTGAAACGGTTGGGTACTGTCAAGATACAGCCAGGAGTTAGGTCTTCTGTTAACAGTCACAAATGCAAGGCGAGTCTTCAGATGGCTGCCACTCTGGTAAAATCATGAAATTCTAACCTGAAAACTCTCATCAACAACCTATGTTATGCAGATGACACAATCTTGCTTGTGGAAACTGAGGAGGACCTGAAGCTCTTGTTGTAGAAGGTCAAGGACAACAGTTTATATGGACTGAAGCTCAACATCAAGAAGACAAAGCTTCTCACCACTGGGCCAATTGGCAACACCATGATAGATGGAGAAGACATTAAGGTTGTTAACAGTTACAGTTTACTTGGCTCCAAATCAACACTCTTGGCACCAGCAGTCAGGAAACCAAAAGTCGAATTGCACGGGGACAATCTGCTGTTAGGGACCTCTTTAGAGTACTGAGAATCAATGATGTCAGTTTAGAGACTAAGATGTACCTGATCCAGGCCACTGTCTTTGCATTTACTTGCTATGTATTAGAGAGCTGGACAATGACTAAGGATAATAGATGAAGAACTTATGCCTTTGAGTTGTGGTGCTGGAGAAGAGTCTTGAACATACCATGGATTGTCTTGGAGAGGGTGAAATCAAGTTTTTCCTTGGAGGCTAGGATTTTGAAGCTCTGTCTCATATCCTTTGGGCATGAGGCCAGGAGGGACTGATCCTTGGAAAAGGAAGGGTAGAGGGAAAGCACAGGAGAAGACGCCCTCGGATGAAATTAATTGATACAGTAACTAGGGCAATGGAGGTAGGTGTGTCAGAGTCAGTGAGATAGGCTCTGAATAGGCTTCAGAGCCATTGTACATAGGGTTGTTATGAGTTGCAGGAAACCTGATGGCACATACAACAACAACAACAACAACCTGAAAATGTGACAGGAAACTAATTTTTGGTGTTTCACACTACTAGGTTTTGTCTTACTTGTTATGTTATAGTAGACAAACAAACTTGGGTCTAGTACTTCCTTTTTTGACATATGGAGGACTGCAGTTTTTCTATTCGCTGAGGATCATCCTCTTAAAGGTAGACATTAAAGACAAGTGCAAAGTCGACGAGTTTTCCTTACTCTCTCATTTATTAACTCTTGTTTCCTCATTGACCTCTCCTTTCCTCACTCTCATTTTGAGCTGTTGGGCTATTCTCATCATATATATTTTCCTACTTTAAAACTAATCAGTATTTTCTTCTCACAAATTTCAACTCATCCTGACTTCTACTCTACAAGAATGAATTTTTCATACTGCACTAGATTTGAGATTCTTATATAACCATAATGATTTCTCTAGTATTTGTTGTCAGAGAGAGCTAGTAATACAGTTACATTTCTGAGATTTCTTAAAATTTTCTTAAAGAATGGAGCCAAATGATTATACCAAAAAGCATGTAAGGAAGGAGCTGTTTACTCAGGCGTTTTCTGAAAGCATGAAAATACGTTTGATGATTACACACTTAAAAAAGGAAAAAATTCATGTGACAAATCAGATGGATAAATTGTTTGCTCCTTGATAGTTTGAGAGATTCTTAGGAGAATTAGTTTCTTTTATGGCTAGTTTATGTTTACTTAGTATGCATGGTCATTTAATGAAATGATGTTCTAAATAAAGCAAATTTAAGATGGAAGAGAAAGAAATGAATATGCTTGCCTACTGGGCAATATCATCAATAACAAGCTGATATTGCATGTAATGAAATGTGATGAGTAGTTTTAAGTAAATGGCAGTGACCTTGGTTTGCGTTAAGGGAGGTAAGTCTTGCATAGCACACTTTGCCTTGGTTCTCCTTGTAGGATTGGAAAAGAGCTGTCAATGATTGTAATGAAAGCTTCTCACCCATTTGAAGAGTGCACTAATGTATTTTTCTTCTTTATTCTCATTAAATGGTGTAAAGGTTGATTTAGACATTTTCCCCTAGAAATAAGTAAAAACCTAATAGCCATTTTAGTCTGTCCTATTCTGGCAAGAAATAACCACTGCAATTACTAAATTCCATCCTTGAACCTACACTGTAGGATTTACAATGCCCTGATTTTCCTTAGTTGAGATTATATAGAAATGAAGAGGGATAGAAAAAACAACAACAAAATTGCTTTCTTGTGTCAGGGTAAGGGAAAAATAACATTATCTGATTTCATTTGTATCGTGATCCAGAAATATCCAGAACAGTCCATAGACAGAAAATCCATAGATAGAATGTTTATTAGTGGTTGCCAGAGGATGGGAGGAGGAGAGAATTGCAGATAAAGGATTATTCAAAAAGGATGCTATTGTTTGCACGCCAGGCTATGACAATGCTGCGAAGGTTTTCTGAGGATGAAAAGTCCAGAGATATAATTAGGCATGTTAGATGCATATGAGTGGTCTCAGAAAGTGTCCTGACAAAGAACCAAAACTAATATACAAAACACAGGAAAATTTATCCAAATGCTTGACTCACCTTGACAGATGGTTAAAAATAATGTGTGTGTCTATGTCTAAATTCATGTCCGGTAATCATAGATATTTATAAACACATTTAACTAGGATCTTTCTCATTTTAGGGGAGGATTTGTTCTCTTAAAAACTCAGCTTCTCTTTGGGGAACTACAATCTTTTGCACTTTGTGTTGCTTTGTATTTTCTGGCCTGCCAAATTTCATTCCTTCGACTATATGACAAAGCCTCTGAGCAGAAACCTTAATGTCTTTCAACCTTTCACAGCATTAGTACACTGATCTTTGTGAATTAAAGAATTATGCATTTAAAAAATTAAAGAATATGCATTTAAGAGTATTTCAGCTCCTACTATAACCAAGATTTTAGCTATTTACCAACTACATAATACCTCTAGCTATTAGCTATTGCTTGGCTAGTCCCTTAGAAAGAGATAATTTTTCCTTGAATATTTTTAGAAATTCATGTCCTTCTCATGTTAATATTTAAAAAAGAAAGACAGAGAGGCAAAAAAAAAAAGTCAAATTCATTGTGGTGGTGGTGTCTCTCTGGAATACTTCCTTTGGAGGACCACACTAGCACAGAAACTCTGTTAACAGGGTGCTTCTAAAACATGCTTTGTGTTTATGGATAAAAAAAGTATTTCTTCTTTTACGAAAAAAATTAAGAAGCACCATGAAGAAAATTTCAAGGTGAATGACCATTCTCTGAGCTGGCATAGGTTACACTTTGCATCAAAATGACACAACAGCCTTGGGCCTCACCAGTTGGCTGAGCCGACTGCTGGTTCCATGAAATTCACTATGTGACACTGGCAATAAGGAGAACATTATGCCAGTCCAGCCTGTCTCAAATGTACAATAATTTAAGTTTCCTTTAAGAGCCCTACAGATAGAAATTTATAAAACCAACGAGATCAGCTATCAAGACGAATCACTCCACTGTCTCTGCTGCCACTGTTAATCACAGCATGAGGCATGAAGATGCCACCAGGCAGACTCTCTGAGTCTGGCCAGCAGGCAGGTGTGGCTCAAAGCTGCACTGATTCGAGAGAAGAAGCGTTCACTCTTGGCCCTGCTGCTGACTCTCTCTGCACTGAGGCTCCACAGTTGACCACTCTGGGTTGGTATCTTCACCTGAGGTTAAATCCTATGTATGGTCCCAGACCAGTGCTCAGAGGCGCTATGAGGAGGACCAAGAAAAAAATAAACATGGAAAAATACGTGATGCTGAGAGTAAAGTTTCTCAGTATATGGATTTATCAATCTGATGGATCTCCAGTGGCACTGTTAGTATGTGGTTCTTATATCAGCTGATCAACTTAATGGTTTCTCTCCTTGTCTCCATTCACTGACAACACTGAGTACTATCAATGGGACACTGTTGTGTACAGAGAGAATACTAGGCACACTGGAGCTTTGTTTGGTGTGATGAAATGATTTTTAGTATTATGTTGTTTTTTAAGCCTTGAGACAAAAGCCAAATATAGAACAAAATGCATTCTTTTCCCCTGTTTGGAAACTAAAAAAAAAAAAAAAAGTTTATTTTGGTGTTAATGGGACTTGTAAGTAATATTAAAAAAATAAAGGACTTGTGTGCAAAATTATGCATATGCATCTGTCAAGGAGATGGATCAGCCACTCACTGGGGATATGTACACAGGGCCCCAGTGCGAGAAAAAGTACTTTCCTGTTTTTAAGATATCCCAATTTGGATATCTTTAGGAAATCATGTCACCCTCAGTTACAGACTGAAGTTTGAGCCCAGTTCAGTTAGAAGTCATCCAGATACCAAACAAGAAAGAAGTGATGTTCACCACAGTAACTGATTACTGCTGTGCAAAGTCAGAATCAGTGTGAGCTCTCATTTTTTTTTTTTTAGGCAAGTTCTCTTGAAAAAAAATAAAGAAAAAAAAAAGACAGCTGAAAAGGGTTTCTTTTATGGCTTTAAAAGGAAAGCTCAGATACATATAAAAAAAATGTTTGGCTTAATTAGGAACTTGGGAAATGAAGTATAAGAAAATGTAAAAAAGGGAATTTAAAAAAATTTGCTTTCCTGGGCCATTTCAAGGACTATCTCATCGGATCTATACTTTAAAGAGCTTTAACTTGAAGAAAGGAGGTAGCGGCGACTGCTCAGGCTCAAGCAGGAGATGCTGACAGGGAGAAGGGAAGTGAGTCAGATACCTGGTCTAGTAGTCAGTCCTCGGTCGGCAGCAGGGCGGGCGTCAACAGGCTCAACTGGGCACAGGAAGCAAGATGCACAGAAAGCAAACAAGACAAATCAAGATGGTAAGTCATGGCTCTGGAACACAGAGCAAAGAAAAGCATGTGCAATAAACAAGTTATAAAAAGGAGCGGCTGGAAAAGAACCACAGTGAGTTAACCCGGAACATAAAGGAATGGGAGGGTACCACTTCAAAAGGCTTATCGCCACTGATGTGTCAATCCGACTCCTTAGTTTTCTAATAAAAACAGTCACCAGGACACACATAGACATCAAAGAAGAGGGACAGGGGAGTGTGGATTTTCCTCTCAGCTAGTTTAGAGATAGTTTCTTGGCTTTTGATTAGAAATGAAATACATTATATCCAGCTCAGCGGAAAACCTTAAAAGAGATTTCCTTTTACAACTGTACAATCTTATCTTACTCTACTATTAATTAACTAGCAAAGGACCTGGTTAGCTCTCCAGGGAAAATGCAAATAAAAATTTATCAGGAGACCAATGCTCCCCCCTATAATCTGCCATTTAATGAACCAAATTTGTTCCTGAATTGAGGGTAGAAGAGGTAATCCTGTGAGTTTTTCTTCTTTGGGTTAGGTGTTGTTTCTTTTTGTGTGTGTTTTAAAAAAGGGTTTTTTTTTTTTTTAAAATAGATGACATGCAATCACAATGTGTGAAATGTGAATAGTTCTTTCCACTCTTTGTAGACTTTAATAATTTTTCCTTTGTGTATATTCTGGGTCTGATCCAAAGCAAGCAGAAATACAGCATTATAGATGGCACAATAGTGGCCAGCACTGCTCATATTATCTGGAATTTCCAAAGGGCTTCTGATTCTGAAGACTATTACATTGATCATATTCTAGTCCTCAAAGAAATAAGTGATGGAGAGAGAAACAAAGAAAGCATTGGCAGTTAATAAGGAGACAAGGAGCAAATGCAGGTGTGTGAGGGAGAAGCTCCCTTGGAAAAGCTGGGCAATGACAAGGTAAGACAGTAAGAAACAGAGCACAGGTGTTAACAGAGAGGCAAGGTGTGCTCGATGGGATGGCAGCTGGACCAGCGACTCCCACAAAGCCACAGCGCTGTCTGACGCACACGGTGCTGGCATTCAAAGGCAGGATGATAAGCTCAAATCAATTTTGAACGCCACACACTGGCAGGAATAGTGAGGGGAAGAAAGCTGCGGCAAGCTGAGGATTTAAAATATGAGAAGAAATGCGAGAAAATAATGTTTCTGCGAGCACTAAGAAACTTAGATGAATCGAAAGAGAAAAGCAATGCTGAGTGAAGTCAGTCACAAAAGGACAAAGATTGAATGGTCGCACTGTGATGGTACACCTCTAGGGAAATGCACAGTGATCAAAATTTATTAGTGCGTGCCAGGAGTGGAGGGCGGGGAAGGAACGGAAAAGGGGAAATCACTGCTGAGCAAGCACCAGGTTTCTGTTGATGATAATGGGAAATTCAGAAATGGGTGCTGGTAATGGTTACAGGGCATGACTGATGGTAACTTTGTGGCACCAAACTGTTCAGATGAAAAATGCTGACATAGCAAGTGTCACATTACCTATTTGTTTGAGGTTCGTGGTGTTTGGTTGTTTTGTTTGGTGTTTGGTTGTTTTGTTTGGTGTTTTTTTTTTTTTAAAAAAAGAAAAAGTGAGTTGGATCTTTAGCATGTACATACTGGCAGCTGGGTGTGGGAGGAAGGAGGGTGGAGAATTGGCTGCCCTGCCTTCAACCCCACACCTTAACATTTACAAAGTATGAGGCCTTGAGCAAACACTTCTGAGGTCTTTAACTGCAATGAGGGAGAAATGAAAAGAATTAAAATCTGTTTCAAAAGGCTTCAAATATGTAACTTTGCTTATAAAATAGCCGATTTGTTCACTATTCAATAACACTACTGCCATTCTGTTGACTACTCAATAGCAACTACTGCCATGAGAATCTCTAGTACTTTATTGGTATATCAGACAGAGAAATACTTTTCTGTAAGTACGGTTTTCTCTTTCTGCAACTCATAGAACCACTGAAACAATGAAGTATAGTGTAGCTTTTTATTACATCTTCAGTAACATTTAGTGAAGGTTTCATTCTCTGTGAAGAAAGAGTTAACTAAAGGATTATTGCACTTTTTTGCAAATTTCCTGATGATGATGCCCAAATATGCTTCAGGTGCAGGTAAGAACAGCAAACCACTCTTAAAGAACAAACACGATACAGACGTAATAATCATGTAAATCAACAATTAAGTCATTAGTGAATGTATTCCACTCCACACGTTTCTCTAAGGGCTACATTTTCACAACTTTGAAAAAAGAAAACAAAAACATAAGCACACAAATATACCAGAGGGCAGCTTCACTCAACAAGTACATACATACTTACATATAGTCTTTCAAGAACTTGTGCCTCTCTAAATGTGTATATATGTATTACATACAAAAGGAGGCCTGCTGGCACCATAATATGTCAGATTGTTAAGCAAAAGGTCAGTGGTTTGAATCTACCAGATGTTACCCAGTTGAAAGACAGGCTGTCTCCTCCAACAAAGATTTACAGCCTTGGAAACTCAGCAGAGGGTCACTCAATGTGACAACTGTGGATTTTTACTCACATCAACTGCCACTATGTTTTAGTCACCTGTTTAGGTTTTGTGTATTTGAAATTTAAAGAATAAAAAATTTTTAAGGCCATTTACAGCTGTTTAAGAGGAACTGCGTTTATTTCTTCAGTAGCAATCAAAGTCGGCCTGGCTCTCTGACCTTCCTTCCAGAGCTGACTAATTGTTTCAAAAGAAAATAGTGTTTGTGGTAAGCATTTGAAGTTCTAGTGATAAGGATTGTATGAACAATGAAAGGAAATCCTTTGAAAATTTTAGATATTTTCAATAGCTCTGTGTGCATAGACCCATATGCACAGTGTGAAAAAGAGGGTGAAACAACAAGAAACAAGATTCCAGGAAGAGGCAGAGGTGAGATTTTAGGACTATATATTATATAGTTTGGCATATTAATTAATTAATTAATTTTAATTACGTAGGCCAAATGAGTAAATCTCCTTAAGTCAGGCTGTCAATTTTCTTTGATAGAACATGGGTTCCTTTTAAACTGAAAAAAGCTACAGGAAACTCTCACCAAGTGGGTAAGGAATTGTGTTGCCAGTTCAAGTCCACCAGATCCTTGCAGAAGAAAGATGGACAGTCTTCTCCCATGTAACTTAAAGCTCCTGAAAACTTGATGGAGTTTCAGCTATGAGTTGGTTCTGACGTGACAGAATGTAAAAACCACCACTACCACCACCACCACCAGTGAATTTGAACTGTGCTGTGATGATGCCAAAGAGGTTTCAGGAGAGTTTCAAGATTTAACCAGGGAGAAGAGCCGGCAATCTCCTTTTGAAAATATGGCTTAGGATGGCATAGTATGGGCATGATTTGGGACCTACTTAAGAGCAGTCAATATCTTAATAGCAGGCACTTTGCTAAAAGCTTTTCATGTTGAATCATTTAATGCTCATATCACATCTTTGAGTTAGGGACTAAAGTCAACCTTGAATTAGGAAGCAGCCAGAGATGCTAAGTAACTTGTCCACAATCTCAGCACGGAGCTGGAATCCAAACAGCATGACCTGTGGGACGCGGGGGACTTTATGTTTAGGGTGAGGGGGTGCTGTTGCCCTTTAGTGCCTAAGTTATCCCAGATAGCAATGATAGGCTCTGTATCAGTGACTCTACACATGAGAAACTGTTCTGTCGCCTACATGATTTTTTTATTCCAGGTGAACATTCCATGGCTTATGGTTATATGATTCCAGAACCCAAGGTCATTGTGGAGAGAATGATAAAACATTTTTACAGTTTTAACAAAAAATAAATAACAAACAAAAAGAACCTTCTCAAATTCACTGGCACTGAGCCGTGACCACCTCTTAACTGACACTCCAGTGGGTTTCTGGAAGCTGTAAACGGCATAGGAGGAGATCACACATCCTTCTTCTGAGCTGCTGGGGGCTTCAAACTGCAGGAAGGTGTCATCTGTAGGGTAACTCTCCACCTACTAGAGACCAGAGCCCCTTTACAGTTCTCAGTGGAAGCTTAATTTTCTAGGGAGATACTACAGCGTACACCAAGAATGGACAACTCAGAGCGTTCCCATGACTTAGTCACTATTTAAGACAACTGTGTCAGTGATGGTGCTGGCACTGTTCACAGAATCTCAAAAACACCAAAGCAGCTTCCTCTTTGGGTGCACCAGAGGCAAATACTTGATTGTGTCATTGTTTCCACTATCAGTTACGTTATACAGTGGTGTCTAACACATCGATTTCCTTCTCTGAACTTTTTCAATCTATTTTAACTGATGATTGTTAAAGAGGCTTTAAAAAAATAGAAAAGGGGTAGTGGGTCTGACGATGTTGTGAATCACAACTTACGAGTGAGTTCCTAAGTATTGCCTACTGTCTCTTAAACGGCATATAACACACTATGACAAGTTTGGAAGCAAGAGTGGCATCCACTTCCTAAACAACATGCCTCTGGAAACTCTATGAACGTTGATAAATGTCGATAGTTGTAGAGGGGCTTCAGGCCTTTTGTTCATAAGGTCGCTATGAGTCATGCTTGAGTTGAAGGCAATCAACAACAACAAAACTCTGAGGTAAAATTTTGCTGTTTATGAGTAACATCTTTTTTTTTTTTAATTTTTTAATCTATTTGCGTGTGTACCGTCAAATCAGATCTGACTGGTACAGGAGGAGATTGCCCCTCCTACTCCAGCAGAGCATCTGGTGGATGTGAACCATGCACCTCTGGAATTGCAATGCAACTTCTTGCCATTAGGCCCCCAGAGCTCCCTGAATAGTAACATCTTAATTTAACAACAATATCAGCTTCTGGATGAAGCCACAGTGATACAACAGCTACAGCCAGTCAAGAACCCAGAAGCACTAAGTCTAGGACTCTCGCCTGATGAGAGTCTGTAATGCCCACGGGCCTTGGATACCTGGTATAGATTATCTCCAAGGGCAGAAGCTATAATGCTGGCTGTTAGAAATCTGAACTCAGTGGTCACAAACCATTCTCTAAGCCTACTTCTCAGTAGAAGGTGCTCCTCTGTGTTGTCTTCAAATTGTTGTTGTTGTGTGTACCATCAAGTTGGAATTGACCCTCCAGTGGGCTTTCTGAGGCAATTAATCACATGGAAGGAGACAGGCTTTCCAGAAACTGATCACACTGGGGCGAACCCATTATAGCAAATCTAAACTTTTCCTTTGGATTAGTTAGCAAAAGAAAAAGAAGAAGAGGAAGGAAAAAAAATAATCAAAGTGTTTGCTAATGAGGGAGCTCTAGCGGCCCAGTCCCTAGGAAGCTGCATTGCTAAGCCAAAATGCCATGTTTCTCTGCTGGTGTGAACCCACCAGCTGCTCCACAGGAGGAAGACGGACAATATCCTCCCATCCAATTCACTGCCTTAGATATCCAATAAGGGGCCACACCACTACAGCGCATTTGGTATCATTGTTTCTTATCTGATTTGGGGAAATGGTAACATACTTGGTTGCTAACCAAAAGGCTACGGGTTTAAGTCTTCCCAGAGGTGCCTCAGAAAGAAAATACATGGCACTCTACTGCCAGGAAACCAATAGCCAATGAAAAAAAACCCCTGTGGAACAGTTCTATTCTGACACACATGGGGCTGCCCTGACTTGAGGCTGAAGCTACAGTAACTGATCTGGTTGAATAAGGTTTAGGGATCAGAAAAATAGTGGTCATGCAACGGGTGGCATTCAGGGTTTAGACATCTAGTGTCAAATGTCTGGATTTCAGGGAATTACTTTGGGAAAGACTTCCTCTATTTCTACTGAAAAGGAACAATCAGTATCAGCTTTGGTTCTTTTCCTTAAGCAAAATAGGTCAGTTTGACTAAAGCTTGAAATTTTAATATAAGCAGAATGCTCAAAAAAAAAATGCACATACTTGTGAATACAGATCATATATTTTCCATATGAATACACATGTACTCAAGATAAAATAGTTAAGAGAATGTAGAAGCAGACTGACTAGTATATATTGGTTTAGCTGTTTATTTTAATTAAAGTTGCTCATTAAAGTCACCAAGCAACGGTGCAGGCTGATATTTCAAATACAGCAGCTAAGTTGTCATTAGTGTGAGAAACGGAGAGGAAGATGGGAAACTTGGGAAAAGAAACATCTTCTATGATAACATTAATCGATTAAACGTGATGCTGTTTTTCTTACATACTGAATTCACTGTCTCAGACTGATTTCCATAAAAGCTAATCCTGACAAGGGCCTTGAGTGTCTTTGCCTTCTTTTTACTCTATATGTAATCTATTTAGCTCAAGTATGTACAGTATAAAAATAAGAAGTATTTTAAACACATACAGACATTTTCTCAATGAATCTTAACTCTGCTTCTAAATTAACTCACTTTTTGGCCACTAAATCTCATTCCATAAATTCTACTCTGTGTACATTTCAATTTCTAGGTCCCATTTGTGTGTGTTCAAGAAAAGATTTAGGAAGACTGAAATATATTTTACCCTCCATCCCCAAATCTACATGTAACGGGAACATTTTAACATGCAGAAGCATGACAGATGAAAAACAGGTGAAAATGTCTAACGTTATGAGAAGCTGATTTAAAATATGTATTACAAATGGTTTCAAATCATGCTGCAGATGAATAAGTTTTTAAAGGCAGAAGTAATTTTAAATGAACAAAATATAGATACTTAAATTTTTTCATGACTAGCTGAGACTCAAACATAAGTGACAAACTACACATTGGATACTGATTCTGGCCTAAAAGGTGGTAAAGAGGGCTAATTTTTCTAACAAGGAAGACTGCTCAGTCCAGAGATGTTACCTTTGTCCTGCTCAATTAAAGATCCCATGATTGATTAATACAGGAAAATCTCTACAGTGTGTATTCAATTTACATACATGAGATTAACCATCTCCCTGACCTTCCCCAAGGATGAAGACTTGAAATGGTCAGAATGTGTTTACCGATAAAAGGGAGGAGCTCTGGAGGTCTGAGGGATAAGAAGTTGAGCTGCCACTCCAAAGGCATGCAGTTGCATCCAAGGGAGAAATATGGGCAATCTCTTCCTGTGACTTTTTATTTATTCCCTCTGATAGCACAAAACAATATTATAAAAGATGACCAAAGCAGTGCTGTAGTAATGATTAATAAAACAACTCACTGCCATCGTGTCAGAATCAATTCAGAGCTGATCCTCCAGTGGGTTTTCAGAGGCTATAAATTGCACAGGAGGAATTTTCCCATCTTTCTCCTCAGTAGCAACTGGTGGGTTTAAATCACCTGCCTTTGGGTTGGCAGTAAAATTCCATACTCACTAGACCACCAAAGCTCTGTTTACTAATGATACAACTTTATAGTTAACCATGTCTTTGGTAACTAAATAGTATTAAAATATTTTCCTCTATTTAAGGATAATTTTTGTAAATAGTAAGGTTTTTTTATGATATACTTCACATTGCTATTCAAGTCAGATATTACCGTAAGGTGTTCATTTTCAACACATCTTGGTTGATTACTCATGTTAGGGTAACAGTCCAAGTAGAGATTTTTTTTTGCAATGGTTCTTCTTAAAAAGCAAAACTAAACTTAAGTACAGTTACATTTCTATATTTGATTGAGAGCTAGACTGAGAGGTGTATTTTATGAGGTATCCACATTATACAGGTGAAACCATGATAAAGTTTGCTTCTATAAACAAAATCTGGCAAAATTTTGTGTTCTTGAAAAACGTCTTATTAGTATCTAGAAAGAAAGCTTTCTAAGTTGTTAGTATTTACATACTTTTGTACATGTAAATGTGATATGGAATAGGGGGAGGAAAAGGTTCCTGAAAGATGCCTGAAAATACTATTTGAAAAGAAGAAATTTCTGTGAAGAAACTCCATCATCCATTGTGCAAGGAAGAAAAACCAAGTCACCCCTACATATGGGCACACATATATGTTCATGCATATCTGTGCATAATTTACAGATATAACCAATGTCCACATGCTTGACATACATTAGTACTTTTCTCCCTGCCTGAGACTCTTACCTTCATTCTCTGTGTTGGCAGGCACAGAGTCCACCCCAAAAGGATGCCAGGGCTGGAGGTCATCCAGGCTGAACTCTCCATTCACGGGCAGAAGCTCCACAGTGGTTTTCGTTTCAGTCAAAGAAGGCATGAGAGCATCATTTCCATAACTGATTCTTGGTTCACTAATCATGTTGGCCAAGACATCATCTGAATAATTTTGCTCTTTCTGAAGCAGCTCATCTACATAAAACAAAAGAAAAACATCTCTTTGGTGAATATCAGCAACATTCACAGTAGCAGCTACCATTTATTGCTTTTACCTGCCTGATCTCATTCAGAGCAGGACTCGGGTCCCATTATCATTTCTATCTTTAAAAAACCATGTGCTGTGCCAACTTTAACACATGGTGACCCCACGTGTGTCAACAGTTTTCAAAGGCTGATTTTTTTAAAATAAAGAGATCCCCCAGGTCTTTCTTTCAAGGTACTTTACGGTAAACTTGAACCTCTACCCTTTCAGTAAACGACCAACCATGCTAACTGCATTACTCATTTTTTAAGTTATGAAAATAAGGGCATACAAGTGTTAAGCAAAGTAAACAGAGTCACAGCTACCGAGCGGCAACTATGAGCTTTGAGCATTGTTTGGCAACGTCTGACGGCATCTGATGACAGATGCTCTCAAGTCCTGGTTACTGCTGTACCCCCAGGAAAGAGAGAACCTCAAGAACTGAATTGCCACATCCTCCTCTTAGACACAATGCACAGTGATCACACAGGTGTAAACAGTGTGCTGTGGCGTGGCGTCTGTGGTGACATGGAAGTAGTGCACAGCACATTATCTCTTTCTGTAAGGGTTGGCAAGGTCCAAGAATGACTTGGTTCCTCCTTGAACACAAGCAAGGACAAAGGATGCAAAACTGCAAGTAGCCTGCTCTACTCTGAACAGTTTTCACTGCTTTTCCAGAATAAATCTGTCTTCCCCAAATGTCCTCTTGGTGCTAAAAAGCCCTTATTTTGCGGCAACACAGAATCTGTCCCCCTGCCATCCTGGGTGCAGCTCTGCAGACACAAAGCTCTGCTCAAGCTTTCCTTATCTGGTCTCAGCCCTTCTCATGTGACTTGATGCCAAATATCTCATTTTCCAAGGAGAGACAGGTCTTTGGAGAGGGACATCATGCT